ATAAAGTCCCACATCGGTGAAGAACCAAAACATGCGAGGGTTTATAAGAGATAGTACTACTCCCCATATCACCAACTTGTTTTATGGTGGAACGTCAACTTTTTTCAAATTGTTCCCTTTGCCAACTTTCCCATTAGCATCAACCTGGTGGACGCCACCAAATTAATTAACTCTCTCTGGGTATCTACCAGGTGAGACATCTTCAAAATTTTAAAGTCAGATTCTAATTGCAAATCGTAATTAAAAATTTAAAGTATACCTGTATAAATTTCATTTTGTTATAAAAATATACCCACTCTTATTCCTCTAGATTTGGAAGATCGCAAACATTTATACATCTTACTTGCTTCTTTCAGATAGTAGTGAGCAGTATAGTACTGTAGGAATATTGCTTCTGTTCATGCATGTGTATATATACCACCCTTTCACTTCTTGTACGAAGCATTCACCAAGTATCTCTTAGCTAGAACCTTTTATTTGCTTAGCTAGAACATGAACATGTGGAACAAATTGTTCGGAACGTCAAGATCAAACTGCCTCCCACACCAGAATCAAGTTCTTGAGAGCGACGCAGTGCAGCGTGCGAATCTGAGCTGCAACGTTTGTCTGGAGGAAAACAAAGTATGTACGTGTGACCAAAGCTTCGAGAGCGGCAAGAGAGTCACGGGTGTTGTTGAGCACCATGCAGAGGCCAACAATTCAGTTATTCAGTCTGTTGTCAACATGAGTGGGATGCTCATAGGTAATGAATTTTTCATGAACTAGAGTTATTTGATCAAAAGGTCTAAGATGTGCATGTAACTTCAGTGCTTAGCTTTGTTTTTGGTTTCGGTTGTGTGTTTATATATACAAGATCGCTTAAGCTTTCTAGGTTATACTAGGGATGTCAACTTGAGAAAGTTGGTACAATTGCCGGGGTACAATCCAAGGACCGTTTATTTTTTAGATACTCTTTCATGCCACAAATTCGCTTAATCAACAATATCTTAGTCATTAAATTGACTGCATTTTCATTTCCACTTTATCTAACAACCCAAAGCTTTTTATTTATTTATTTTTTTTTTTTTGCAAAGATAATCCTTGATCGAGATCGTTATATATATCATTTAGCTTTTCACACCAGTTACACTACAAAAAAAAAAAAAAAAATATTAACTTCAACTTCAACAAATATGTTGTAAATTAATTAGTTTTTGCATACGTTTTGGGTTGCAGGTTTGGGACAGTTATCAACTCCATATGCCTTAGAAAATGGGGGTTGGTCTTCTGCATTCCTATTGATAGGACTTGGGGTGATATGTGCATATTGTTCCCATCTCCTTGGAAAATGTCTGGACAAACATCCCAAGTCAAGAAGCTACACAGATATTGGATACAATGCATTTGGATCCAGAGGAAAAATTATAGCAGCATCCTTCATTTACGTGGAGATTTTCATGGCCCTTGTGTCCTACACCATCGCTCTGCATGACAATCTAGCCACAGTGCTCTCCGGGATTCAACTCAAGATTTCGTGGGCTAAGTTACAGAAATCTCAGCTCTTAACCTTGATTGCTGTCTTCGTAGCTCTCCCTAGTCTTTGGTTGAGAGATCTCTCTTCCATATCTTTCCTTTCCTTCGGCGGAGTTCTCATGTCACTCGTCATTTTTATATCAGTGGCATGCACCGCCATTTTCGGAGGGGTGAAATTGAACCACACCATACCTGCCCTCCAGATTCATAACATTCCTGCAATATCTGGCCTTTATAGCTTCAGCTTTGCAGGACATGTTGTTTTCCCCAATTTATACAAGGCCATGAAAGACCCATCCAAGTTCACCAAGGTATACTTTTTATAGTCTCTCCAATCATATAGATAATAAGTTAATTAACTAATTTCTCCAGTCTATGTAGTACTCCTTCATTCTCTATCTATATTTAGAACATGGTACATAAATAAACTATCATTCCCAATCTCTTGATCGCAGTTAACCATGAAGAAAAATTCAGATCACACAACTGTTGGATAACAATCTAATTACGATGTGAACAAAACTTCAGTAGAAATCATTCTATTTTGATTGAAACTCGGTGATCATGGACTTAAGTTGTTAGAGTATGAGCACAATCTAACCTAAAATGAAATAGTTATGGAACCGCTAGATAACGGTATTGGTAGGTGGGGATTTGGACTAAGTAATAACCCAATGAGCCAATAATAATTAGGTATCGAACTTAAACTACCGAAAGTCAGCAATGACCGAACTAAATACGACCTATATTTTTACTTTGTTTTCTCCAAATTTAACCCTTTATATGTTTTAAATTCTTGCAGGTATCAATAATAAGCTTCACTCTAGTGACAATACTTTACGCATCCCTAGGATTCACGGGAGCCAAGTTGTTTGGTCCTCAGGTGAATCCTCAAATCACTCTGAGCATGCCTCCACATCTTATAGTGACAAAGATTGCACTGTGGGCAACTGTGCTGACACCAATGACCAAATATGCTCTTGAATTTGCACCAATGGCTATCCAGCTTGAGCATAACCTTCCTCCCTCTTTGAGCTCCAGAGCAAAGTTTCTCATCCGGGGCAGCGTCGGTTCAGTCCTACTTCTGGTGATTCTAGCACTAGCTCTCTCTGTTCCGTATTTTGGGTATGTTCTCAGCCTCACTGGATCACTTGTGAGTGTTGGCATTTGTATCATTTTGCCCTGTGCCTTCTACCTCAAGATATGCTGGGGTCAAATTTCAAGGCCTCTCATGGTCCTCAACCTCACCTTAATTGCTTTTGGCACCCTTCTTGGGATAGCTGGAACGATTTCCTCATCAAGGTTGCTCTTTAAAAGCCTGAGCAGAGCTCACTCGGCCTGAAAAAAATGAGCCAACCATCTCACTTTTCTATTCAAATAAAACTATTTACATTTTCATCGTGGGATGGGTGCTGGATCTATATTTTATCCTCTGATTATTTTTTTGGTGTTTTTTTTTTTTTTTTTTTTTTTTTGTAATATTTTTGAGGTCTAAAGCTCTATGGACGTGTTACGTGTATGTATCTGCGGTTGTCATCATATGAATAAAGCTTTTTGAATCAGCTGTTCTTCTTCTCTTCGTTGTATGTTGCCTCCAAAGCTTTTAGAACAAAATAATAAATAAAAAGCCAATGGCTTGGGAATAAAATTGAAATTCTATTCACATGTTTGATAAATACAATAATGGGAAGGCTAATCACGGTTCATGGTATAAAAATTAAAATCACTCATCATGAAACGGGACTAATTTATAAGCTGAGATGTACTTTAATTTGAAAATCGGAAACCATGAGAGTCAAAAGAATATGAGTGCAAAGAAGCAAAAACTTTCAGCGGAGGTGAGTCATGCCACACCAAGGTTTAGGAAGATAAGTTCATGTTAGCAAAGCTATCAATTAATATGAGAGTAATAAAAATTCATCTATCGGATGCTAGTCAAACAAATAAACCAAAGTGTACGACTAGGAGAAGGAGTAACGGAGTTTGAAACTCCAATAGAGAAAGAAGTCCGAAACCTTTGGAGCCCCTTAGTTTGCTTTCCCACACTTGAAAACATTTTAGTTTTGAAATTTATTATGACTAAGTTACCCACATTGCAAACTAAATATAATAATTTTATAAGTAAGTTACCCACATTGAAAACTAAATATTATAATTTTATAAGTGGTGAATTATTCTAGTGATTAGGGTCTTCCTTTTTAGCTTCCTACATTCCTAGTTCAAAGCATCCTCCTCCTTTCCCTTACTATAGATTAGTGTAGACTATCGATTCTACTAAAAAAAACACTAAATATTATAACTTTTGTTTTATCTCTAGCTTATCCATGAACAAAAAGTTAAAAGTTATGAAGTCATATTTGATTCCAAATGTGGTGGTGTAAGTTTAACATCTTATGCATACAGAGTTAAATTTGACTTTTAACTTTTAACTCTTATACATTAGAGAATTATTAAAGTCTTAAATATAACTTTTGAATCTTCTAAAGTGGAGGTCCTACTTTTAACTCTAGAGTAATATCCAAATAAAATATGACTTTGCATATACATAGCACCAAAGTCATATGTTAGGACATAAAATATCTCGACTTGTTAGAGTACATCATGTGTATTATCAGCTCAATATGATTGTCCTTCCCTTGACGGACCATGCAGATGTTATCCGTACCTTGAAGGGCTTACGAGACTCTATTTGGCATAGCGCCTAAAAAGTCTACAATCATTAGGCCCCAAGGCTCATCTCGCTGCCAAGTGGCCTTAACGCGAACAACTTTGATATACTATCAGCGTACCTGTTTTTCCCTGTGGTTAGCGGAACCGCCAAAGCGTACTTAGAAATGAATTAAGTCAAATTTAGATACAAATATAACTTCTAAGTACAAATATTTTTCTCCATTGAAGATAATCTAAAGGTGTGTAAGAAAGAAGTATAGCTATATAAAAATTTCTAGTGGATTTATGATAAGTTCATTTTGTCACTTGAGCTGGATAAATCAATATTATCTATTAAATTATTTACTTAGAAAACGACTTAATTCTTAATATCGATTTATATCTATCAAAAGAAGAATAAAAATGTTATTCTTATTATGTCTGTGGACCTGATCACTATTAGAAAAGTGGTATAACTGTTGTATGAAAAATGTGATAAGTGTTGCATTCCTTAAAAAAAATGACAAGGCTAGCTAGAAAAGGAATGAGAGCAAGGAGAGGTGGCTTGGTCTCAAAGAGAGGCAAGTAAGGAGTGCCCACCATAAAATGATCAAGGTATAATTATTATTATTATAGGAACAGTTGAAAGGTTGGTTTGTGGACCAATCCTACAAATTGGACTTGCTATCACCACAAAAGTAGGTTAAGTTGCAGTTTAACCAACAACTCTAGCACCCACTCCACAATAATCATAACTTTGTTATATATTTTCCTCTTCACGCATCAAACTAGAGCAACAACAACAATATATAAGGTGGATCAATCAAACATTCCACATTTGCATCATTCTATCTTGTTCATAAAGTCAACACCAACTGATCGATATAATAACACCATTACGTTGTTCTTCCATGGTTTGTAAGTCCCACAACAAAACAAAAAAGCTTAGGCTTTGTAGTTTTGTGTCCGAAGGGATGAGGGATCGAATGGAGAGATTTGTTGTTCTTCCTTTTGGCATTGGCTGCGCTTCTCAGTCCAGCGTTGCTATTGGCGCAGCAGCAAGTGCTGATCATCAACAAAGAAAACCTAAAGCACCACCTCCACATACAGCAAGTATATCTCTCTCTCTCTCTCTCTCTCTCTCTCTCTCTCTCTCTCTGTGTCACAAATTAATTAGCTAGTTGGTATTTATTGGGTTTTTTTGATAATGGAAGATGATCCAAAAGCACAAGGAGAAAAAATGAAGAGTGGTACTTTTCACTTCCTGACTCTTAAGAGGACTCAAATATCCAGTGGGATGCAGAGATTGATCAGAAGCATAAAAAGCTTCTCCCAAATATTCGGTAAGTGGATCAATATTTCACTGCCTATAATCCTTATATATGTACATATATATATATATATATATGCATGCTCAAATAGTGAATACAAACCCTAAAATAATGTACCACTAACTGAATTCTTGATGCATGCATGATCAGATAGTGCCCATTTACATTAGTATGATCTTGCAATGAATCAAATCTAGATCTTTTTTGGTCAAATTGTGATTAGATCAACGCATAATTGATAACAGTGTTATCTTACGTGATTCTGATCAAGAGTGGAACGAGGAATTTTTAATGGGGTGGTTAGCTCACTTTTTTGCAAGTGAGATCGGGCTTAGAATATTTTAATTAGTTGATCAAATACTTTAGCGTTGCTATTAGGCGGGCTACTCGGTGGCTTTTTTTTTGAAAAAAAATGCTAGGTTGGTGGGCGGCCACTAAGAAAATTTGAGTGTCAAATACTTGAAAGAGAAACTTGGTTCTGGTCCTTGGTTAACCAAAATGTATAGGATGTTGTTATTCATATACTTATTTTTATTTCTCACATTTTTTAATTTCTGACCTGTCTGATTGAATAAATTAAAAAAAATCAATAGACAAAAATTAACAAGGATATTTAAGAGATAAAAATGAGTGTGAATAGCACTAAACCAAATGATGTGGTTGTTGATGATTGAATTATTCTTTAAGTGTTGATTAACGTACTTATTTCATATTGGTAACACATAATTTGATTTGCAAATTTGATTTAACTTTTGATTCACCTAGTATTATCCTAGTAAAAATGTACAAACGTTGTCTTTAAAAGAGTATACGTTATATGTTGATACGCATATATAAATAGAAATATAAAAAAGGGAATTGGGTTGTTTACCAAGAAGATCCTTTTGTCCCATACCAAGAAAAACTTAATTGTGGTGAATGATATATCTATAAAGATTAAAAAACATATGTTCTTTCTAATTAGTTTTTAATATCTGTACGTTTATGCTTTTGGTAATCCTCTATATGTTTATTTTTTAGTTTACAAGGAAGAGATTGAGGAAGAGGATGAGGAAGGAGAGATGGAAATTGGATTGCCGACGGACGTGAAGCATGTGACACACATAGGACTGGATGGGTCTGCCACTACCAATACCACCGCAAACCCTTAAAAGCTAGCAGCTGGGAAAATAATTTCAACACTCCAGAAATACTTTCTTTCCCTTCAATTTCTTTAAAGCAGTTTGAGCTTGCCATGGCTGCACAGACCACCCACCAACCTGAGCAGCAGCAGCAGCTCGTTGTTGATCTCAAGACGCTGGAAGATCCCAAAGATCTTAGCTAGTTAATATAGTAATTGAAGCTACCTGGTCCGTTTTATCTTTGATCATCCTATATCATGATGTTAATGCCTCTTAACCACAGATTATGCATGCATGCATGCATATAGCTAGGATTTTGAGTTTGAGGAGGTGGCCGGTGGGTGAATTGGTTTACCATGCTGATATATTGATTGAATTGGCGCAAAACCAAGTGCAATGACATTGTAGAATTCATGCACTCAACCCCACTTAGTGAGTAAGATTTGATTATTGTTGTTGTTATTTGTTGTTGCTGATCGATTGAATTGGTGTCATATGTGTTTTAAGTGGTTTGTAGTGGTACTACTATATATATGTAGCAATTTGGTTATTGAGTGGTAGTGCATTTTTTGGAATATAATTTTCTAATGAACAATCTCTCTATATACTACAACTAATCAGTTCTATTTTACACCGAGATTTTTGTGATAAAACTTGCACAATCAAGTTTGATATTATACGAAATGAATGGCCTCGTTAGATAACGACATAAATCTATGATCCAAATTATTCACCAATATATAAAGTAAATGGAAGTTATCAATAACACTAATCATCCAACGTTTATTATTGTTACTTTTTGTATAAACATTCATTGGATGAAAATATTCTATACTCTACTGCACTTTTATCTATGTTCTAATACTGCATGTATTGTAAATTGTAATAGAGATTCATCCCACACTGCGCACTTCAATATAATTTAATTTCACGCTTCAGTTTTAATTTATTCGTATTTTTTACGTATCACTTGCATATTATGGTTTCATCACCTTTTAAGTGTTGGCCAATATACCTCAATTTTAATGTTTACTTAGATATTGTGGTTGGCGTGTGTCATGTTATCCTTGCCCTAAAATCATACCACCTTATAAAAACTATTGTTTGTTAACCCTACCAGTTTTTGTGTTAACCCATTTCTCTGGACGGTAATATTTCAAATCTTAAAAATGTTTTGATTGTTCAAAACATGTTTACTTACAAGGAATGAGATTGAAATCATTTTGATTAGCTTACTTCAAAACTTTCTCTGTGTTTATTGGCACTTAAGAAATCAGAAAAAAAAAAAATATTATGGCATGTTTGGTACTCTATTTGAATCCAACTTTTTAAACTCAAAAACAAATTTCAAGTTTTAGACTTTAAAAACTTGTTTGGTAGGATTATTTTTAAAAACAGAACTCAAGACTAACTAAAAAATATAGTCTATTATCTAAAAACATAAAAAGAGAGTTTTTAGAGATTTTAAACTTACTCATTTCTTTTCTCCCCCATCCCCTCTTACTCCAAATCTATCTCTCTCTTTTCTTCTTTCTCTCTTCTTTTTTTTTTTTTTAACCTTTTTCGTCTCTCTTCCAATCGTTCTATTCATTCTCTCAGTTCTTTCTCTTTCCTTCATTCATCTTTTACTTTCTTTCCTCCTCTCTCCTCTTTCTCCCTCTTCTACGATCCCCTATTTTTAGATATCTTTGTCTAGTTTAAGTCATAATATTTAAAATTTTTAAATTGCAAACCAATCAAGTTTTTAAGTCTTACAGAGAATTGTTTTCAATAAATGTTTTGAGAAATGATAAAAAATTTCAAATAGGATACCAAATAGACCCTTAACTTTACTTTAAATTTGTAGTCCAAAACCTAAGTATCATGGAAAGGCCAGTTGATTTGATTTTCTTTCTGTAAATTTTTATTTTTAAATTGTTACATTCCTACCCTATTTCATTTCTGTCAAGTAAACATAGTACATATGCAAATATAAGAATCTCAGGATAAAAGGTCTTGCATTGCCGATAACCGAATAATAAGCATGTAAGAAAATGTTGGGCTTTTTTTGGGCTTCTTTGAGGTCTAACAGGGAAATTTAGAAAATAAAAGGCCCAATATAACATGCAAGAGGCCCGATAAGGAGCCCAGAGTACAAAAAGTTTAACAAAATAATTATGGTAACTTTAACGAAAATCTCATAGTACTATTCACTTTAACAAAAATAACATTTTACACTAAAAAATCAATCATGATACTATTCACTTTACCCTTTATTTTACCTTAAAACTCCAAATTTTCAAATTTTTTTCGTTAGTTTTCCTAATTATTGAACACATATGGTTGGTAATACCTCCAACGTCAGCCTATGTGCACATCCTCATCGTACGGAATCATCACATGCGTAAAAGATTCGTTGCGTGTGCATACAACGAGATTGATACGGGACTTCAGCTAAATTATAATATGGGTCTAAATCGATTTTACGATTTAATGGTTTTGTATGGAAATATTTTTAAAATAGTAGGTAACATTTTGGTGAAATGTTTATGCAACCGATCTTAATAAAAGTGCACGTGAATTTAAAAAAAAATACTTGAAATGTTTCCTTCAATAAGTACGTAATCAGGACTCCTTATATAAAAATGCTTTTGAAGTCCTAAAATATTTTCTTAAATAATAATTTCAATCATTTTATAAGCACTTATAAACGAGCTCTTAAACTAGTTGAATTTGAAAGGTACTCCTAACCATATTTTATCAAACAAATAGCTTAATAATTGATTTTATTAATTTTTAAGGCCACCGCAAAAGCAAAAGCAGCACGCACTTCCACTTTTCGTTGGAGTAATAGTGTGCACATGTTGCTCATTTTAGGGCTCAGATTTTGGTACCTGCTGGATCCCTCAGAACGTGCTTCATGTTGTAATATAATATGTGTATGATCCACATGAGTAGTTTATTATTATTCATCTGAAGAAAAATCAGATGAATTATTATTCATACGAAGGGATGGATTTCTATTCATGCACAATATTTTACTATTCATTTGGGGAAAGTTTGTAAAGTGAAGGAAGGAAGAGGTGAGAAGAAGAAGAAAGAGATGAGAGAAAAACATACAGGGGAAAGAAAGAGGAGCTATGGAGGAAAGAAGAGAGATGCGGAAGAAATTATCAGTGAGCCAAACTATAGAGAAAATAAAAAATAGTGAGAGTTATTTTGTACTCCTATTATTTCAGATAATGAAAGAAAGTATTACTGCTGTCTCGAGGACATAAGCACCATTGCCGAACCTTGTAAATATTATGTCTTATTTACTTTATATTTTACTGCACACATATTGTCGACTTTACAATACTTAATTTTATATATATACACACACACACACATATATATATATAGTCACTCATGGTGCAGTTAATTTTTTTTTTTTTAGATAAATATGGTACAGTTACTAAATTTGACCAAACCCCTCCTTAAAAAATTTGAACAAAATCAACATGTGCATCTCAAACTCTAAAGGAGATGTCAAATTCTCAAGTGTTACTGTTCATTTTTACATTAAAAAATCCTTCTAACTATATGTCATTTGCTGGATTTGAAACCTTTGTGATTAGAAATCAAATTTAACAATGATGTCAAATTTATTTTTAATTAATTTTAATAGTGAGTGACTTATTCCACTAATATTTCAACAAATAAAAATTTGTTTCAACAACTCCTTAATGAATACAACCATTTAAAATTCTATATTAATAACAAAATAACATTTAACAATTCGGCCAAAGAAGTACAAAAAATATGACATAAGACTTCAAATTATCACATTAGCTATTAATTACAATTTGACTGTTATAATTTGACATTTTCTTTAGAGATGATCTTAAAATTATGAATTACTTCCAAGTTGAAATAACTAGGAATTAATGACTAGGAGATCAACTTTCTCGTCTATAGTCTAAACATTGTATTACAAAAAGCAATCTACTTGTGCATCCTAATGCGAATTTTATCTCGACTAATTATTCCCCTTTTAATAACTAATAAGTTAACCCATTAAAATTATCGCTAACAAATATTAGGGGACAGTTTCAATACCGAAAGTTGAAACTTTATAACTCATGCGAAAAGATCCAGAACCATCCATTTAACTTGATTAGTTGATAAGACTAAACCCCCTACTTGAAGTTTATCCAATATAGAAGGCGGCTGCCGGCCATATAAGTATATTACATCATCTCGCTAATTTTTTGGATTTCGTTGTCTGACAACTAATTAATCGATCTATTAAACTAATATTAAAATAAAAAAAATCAGATAAACTATAATCCATATTCCTAATAATAATTAGGCTAATTGCCACATCCAATCCAATTGGCACTTGCTCATGCATGGTGCGGCCAACCTACACCGAAACATCCCTTTCATTTTAAATCAAAGTTTTTGTGAGTCACCATATATGTTACGTGAATAAGTTCGTACTAAATATTTCATTTATTATACTCGAACTTAAAACTTCACATGGTCGTGTCGTTACATTGTAGGTTTTCTTCATCAAAGTTTTCATTTGATTTTTGGTTTGTTTGATATTTTAGGACCTAAAGTCGTATTTTTAATTTAAATATTTAAATCAACAATTTTAATCGAATCCCATTTGCGCCGTGGATGAAGATTATTGGGTGAAATTGGGTTCATTTTTGCTCAGCATTTTTAAGTTTGTGGTAATGCTCATCACCCTACTTCCTACTATTTGATGAATTTATATTTTAAAATTTGTATTTATCAACTGCACCATACGAAATTAGAATTTATTTAACGTTTATAAATAAGTCGGTGAAAATTGAGTGCCAATAAAGCTATATTTTTAGTAAAGCAATAGTGTTTATGAGTTAAATTGTTAGTTGTTAAAAAAAGAACCAGATAAATAAAACTCATAACAAATGTAAAAACAATTAAACATAATAATTATTAATAAAAATTGAGTAATATTAAAATGCGTCAGCAATAAAGAATAAACACGGTAATTAAGACTTATAATCTGATAATTAAGGGATCGTTTAGATGTGCTTTTAAAATCTTGAAGAAAATGTTTTTGAGTTCCAAAAACACTTTAAGTGCTTCTTACAAGAAGCACCAGTTATATGTTTTTTTCCGTGACGTACTTTAAGTGATTTTTCAGGATTTACTTGCATTTTTATTAAGGATTGTTTTAAAAAATATTTTCACCAAAATTACTTTTAGTCATTTTAAAAGTATATTCAAACGAGCTATAATAAACACGCTTTTAACAAAAATGTTTTTTTGAACCTTGTAAAATTTTAAAAAATAAAAATAAAAATCGAAAAGGTCCAAGTGAGAAGCAGTCGTAAAAGTATTGCTATTTCAACGTCCGTCAGCCATTGGGGATAAAATACAAAACAAAGAACAGAAAGCTTCTCTCCTCTCCCTCTCTCTCCTCTCTCTCTCTCTCTCTCTCTCTCTCTCTGTCAGAAAATCAGAATCAAAGGTGGTTGCTTTCGCCTGATCAAAGTCTTCTCTGCCGTTTCCGTCAACACCAAATTGGTAATTTCGCATAAACGAT